AACAACAGAATATTATTTTATGTATGCACATGTGTGTATGTTATATGTGTCTACAAAATGTGTGTGTGTGTGTGTGTGTGTGTGTGTGTGTGTGTGTGTGTGTGTGTGTGGTGGAATCAGGAGTCATCAATTTTTGGTTACATAAAGTTATTGGTAAGCTTGTTCATCTCTCTTGTTTTTGAAGGGAAAATTAACTTGCACAAATGTAGAGATATATTTCGTGATTGAAGGAGGTTGGGTCACCTGGTTACAGAGGCAAATTTAGCAAGTAAATGGCCACTAATGTTTTGTGACTTCCAAAGCTTTAGAGTCCTTGATACGGAAACTGCAAATTTTTTGTATCTTCGATCAACATTTTTCAGTATGAAAATTCACAAAGAAATTAGTTAATCAAAGGACATAAAAATTGCCCAGTGGGTGGAAAAAAGTTGTCTTCTTCAGTCCATCATTTTGACGAGCGCTGGATTTCACCATGATTCAGTCATTCACACAAATATGATCATGTGAATAGTTTGACGACAAAACTCAACAAAAGCCATTTTCAAAGTTTGGCCAGAATGAGTATCGTCGTAAATCTGTTGCCCCATATATAAGAGGAGGTACCTCACTACTTAGCTATCCAAAACAAATGAGTATAATATAACTAAAGGTTTTTGATAAAAAGGAAGCTCTGAATCAACATTCATCTCCTGTAAGACCGGCATATATATGTCACGACGCGGTGGAATCAGGCACTCGTCAATTTTTGGGCTTAGGGAGTTATTGATATTATTGTATAGACTATTGATTTGACTTGTTTTTGGTGAAAAAATTACCGATCTATATTGAATAAAAGTTTAGATATCTGCGTTTAAAGGAGGTAGGGGTTGCCAGGTAGCAGAGGAAAATTGAATTGTCTTCAATTTCATCATTTTGTCGAGCACCTGATTTCACCATGCTGCCTCACAATTCATTTTTTAGCACAAGTTCAGTGCACACATATTTCTAAGAGCTCATAAAACTTTGACTACCAATTTATATAAATTTTATACACAATACCACCACCAGAACACAGGACAGCAAGAATCACTATCACTAACCATCACGCCAGTAGTAAATGCTAACACGGTAGTACTGAAAGAAATCATTCGTAGACTGGTTACTTATTTCTTGAATAATACAGTAGCCTACTAATGGAAGCGGGAACTCAGATGACTGCTGGACAGAAAAAGTAACGGAAAAGCTGAAATAACTATCTTCATAATACAGTCGACTCCGCTTGTGTTGAACTCGCTTGAGTTGAACTTCCGTAAAGTTGATCTTTTTTTCAGGTCCCAACACCTCTTCTTCATCTTCTTTACAATTACAGATCCCAAAGGTTAAGTTGTACTTTGAATGAGTTGATCTTTTTTCACTCCCCTGAAGACATCAACTCATCCGTAGTCAACTGTATATTGATATAATTTAGACCCATTGAAGAGGGAAAAGTACTTAAGGGTTAAATGCCCCTATAATCGCTATTAGGTTATTTAAAAGGCACGACCTTGAATTAAATGTCCATCTTTGATCAGACCAAGCCAAATGGTATGAGATTGAGAGCCTTGTTTTTATATATTTGAGTAAAGAAGCACATACACATGATATTAATGGTCATTTAGTGCTGGGGGGGAGGGAAGCAAGACAGACAGACAGAAACAACAGAAGGAAAGTAAAGAAGTAGAACCTACCAGTGAAACCCTCCAACCACCCACCCGAGAGCCTTCGAAACTCAAAAAAACAATGTTGAACTTTGAGGAGGAAGTGAAACACCATACCCATCCAATAACATACATAACAACAGATCATCAAAATGCTGAAAATTAAATTCTCTAGGTTAGTAATGTCAGAAAGTTGACAACACACTAGTAAATTACAATGTAGAGCAGGAATCAGTAAAAGAACTGCTGCAGCACAGACTCAAATACAGTCAAGCCCGCTCTCACGGCCTCCTGGATAAGACAACTATCCACTCTCACGGCCTCCTGTATAAGACAACTATCCGTTCTAACGGCCACCAGTATAAGACAATGACCCGTACAAGTGGCCACATTCCATTTCCTCTCTTGCATAAATTTTCACATTATGATGACACAGTGAAAGTAAAGGCTAAACTAATATCATCTGTGAAGTCCAGGTGTTCAAGTTGTGTCCATATATCTCTCAACTCTGGATTCCTGTTTTGCTACATGTTCTATGGTCGTTTTCATGACCCAACAGATGGTAAGAGTTGAGTAAGAAGCAACAAGAAAGGTAACAATATAATACACATCTCCTGGTGGGTAAAGCAGACGAAAATGAAAAAAAGACGAAGACTAAGTAAAAATTCTATTTTTTGCTATTTACAGTTTTTAAAAAAGAAATAAATGAATACGAAGTTCCCATGATCTGTAAGTGACTAGATAGCTGCATTGTATAAGAGGACAATCTACGTGTAACCACATAAGGCTTTCACTTTGAATGAAACATAAAAGGAAGATTTCAGTACATTGCATTATTATATAACATCAATAACATAATATAATATAATCTTATTTACATATATTGCCTTTACAAGAAATACTTCACCCAGGCTTTGACTGTGACAGTTTAAATAAACAAAACAAAAATTCAAATCCACATAATTAACTCCAAAAACAGCTTTTAAAAAAGAAGACAATTTAAGTAACAAGAAATTATGAATTTGGAGCATGATTATTATCACTTTCTTAAATAACATATGAGTATTAAATCATCATCACTCAAAGGTTTCTTGAGAACCGAAACACAAGCAACAGATCGTTACCTCAGAATTACAACGTCCTATCTGCTCGGTAGGCCTAACTAGTTTTGAAAAATTTTACGTTTAAAAATTTAGTTTTCGTTTTGGTAAGTGTTTTACGGCGCTCACAACTGCATAAGGTCATATGAGCATGCGGAACACACATTAAACATTTTCAGTTTGGTTGGAATTGATTTTGAATTTTGTCCCAGTGGCGGCCAAAGCCTAAAAATTTTTTTAGTTTTCCAAAATGTCAAGCTTTTTAAAAAAGCTAGATCTAGTCTTTAAATATATCTTGACAATGATTCTTAATAATCTTACGATTTTGATAGAACATAAAACATTTAGTTTCTGACCTCATGGTCTTAGTTTGTAACTCAAAACAGCCCAAAATGTCAGACAGAACTTAGTAAAATTCTAAAGTAACAAGATACACACTCACTTTGACAGTCATTAATTAATGAAAAATTTAAGAAATATTCATGAAAAAAAGCTCAACAGTGAGTCCTCACATCTAGAAAAACAAAGCCTTTTCTTTGCAAGTACAAACGACAAAGTGAAAAACTATTTATGAAATAATAAAACGACACTAGGTCACCAAAGCGTACATAGAAAACTATAACTTCTCTTCTCTAGTAGGGCTAAGCACATACATCCAGTATTTTGGACTCTAGTCTGGGTAATTATGAAATATTTGAATAGTGTATTCTCAAGTCCTCAAATCCTGAGCAAAACCTCAATGTATCATTCACTGTTGTCCATAATTTTTCTTCAACTGGCAAGTGTGAGAGGAGCAATACTAAAAACAGAGAATACATATATTTTCCTAAATACAAAAACAAGACTTCAATTCTCAGACCCCCAATAAGTACTGAATATACGTTTTAGTACCTTGGTCGGCAGCAAAGAGACTATACTATTTGCCAATTGTACAACAGCGTCTTGAGAGTCAAAGGTGATCTGTACTCAGATCAGAGAGAGAGATTGGAATGATGATGCAGTTATGATCACAACAAGTCACTTTATTATTATAATATCAAAATAAATGTGCACAGTGCCAAACCCTGTCTCAAAATCTACAACTCTTAAGAAAAATAACCAAAGAAAAAATTAAATAAAACAAAACAAAACAAAAAATAAATACATTTTAAAAATAGATTGAAAAAATAAAAACTGGAAAACAATTTTAAAAATCACCGACTGTGACAACAATTGCCACATACACCTAGGAGGATACATTTTCCCCTGGCATGGACATACAAGAACATGATGAAGTCTATTTTTGGTATGACTGTCTACACATTTTTTTTCTCTATTTTTTGGAAAGGGAACACTTTCAAAGAATCAAATTCCAGAATGACAGTACTTCACTACACTAGCAATTTATATAATGGAAAGACAGATCAATCCTACGACCTTGAAAGCAAACATAGTGAGAGCACTAAATAGTGTTGCAATGGCCAGTCATGTTCCTGATGGGAGTGATTAAAGGAGGGTCATAGAAAAATAGAAGAAAAAAAAGATCAACAACAGCAAAATGTGGTGTTATGTACGTCGTCGATCAGCTGTTTAGATGTATTAAGTCTAAGCCCATAGATCTAATTTTTATCATTGCAGTTTCTTTATGAGTGGTGTCGGTTGCATTATGTTCTCAAGAAACATTTCTTTAAAATTCAATTTTAAAAATCAACAAAAAATACTTAATAGTATAGTGTTGAGATAAAATTAATTGTTAAAAGAATTTTAAAGTTTTTCTCTCTCTCCTGAAAAATTTCGCATTCTCGACGTAGTACATCTGAACAGCTTGCCAATAATGTGTCTTAGAACTTGGACTGTTCTAGAAGGTCTCTGACACTTTGTGTCTTTGGCACCCTCCCCCAACTTGTGTCAGTGTCAGCCCGTCAAAGATGGACCTCTAGTTTGGAGGTCCTGCCATTTAAAGAAACGCACTGAGTTCACAGGGATGTATCTATAGATAGCATGCTATATGTGTAACATAGAGGTGAAATCTGGTGCTTTTTATAATAATGTAAATTTCTATCGAAGAAACTAACATTCTTTTGTTCCAAGGACAATCTTTTAAATTTAATGATTGGGTGGGGTGGCCAACACTTTTGTGTCCATCTAAAAACATATTTTTGGGTGGATTTTAGTGAAAAATGTTAATGAAAGGCACAAAAATAAATAAATTTGCAGTTTCCAAGGCACTCAAGCTTTGGAGGTCACCAAACTTCGACAGCCATTTTCTCACTGATTTTACTTCTGACACCAAACCATCCCCATCTCCTTCAATTAGAAATATCTCAACTCTATTAAATTCGAGATAGACAACATCTTTTTTTTCATCAAAAGGAAGACAAATGAACAGGCTTTTAAATTATAATACCAATAACTCAATATGCCCAAGAATTGATGAGCGCCTGATTCCCCCTTGTCGTAACATATTATATCATACAAACACACACTTACACACTATAGTCTTCTTCAAACATATTTGAACCCAAATAAATTAATAATAATATCATATCTTCAGCAGTAATGATAATATAACAATAACAAGTTGGCAGAACAGTTATTGTAAAAATACAATATCATAATAAATAACAATATCACACAGTATTTAATACATCCTCAGATCCACGAAACTCCCACAAAGTAATTTTCATAGTCTTATTCCAATGACCAATCTAAGTCACTCCGATTTACGATAAAACATTTTTCTCAATAAAAATTATTTGTCTTATATTTGAGAAATCCAGGACCACTGAGCTCTGGGGATGGACCTCCTTGGTCTCTTGTTGACTTCCTCGGCCACAGGGGGAGCCACCGGGTCAGGAGACAGGCACCGAGGGGCTACGACTGCTTGAAAACAACCATCATGTTGCGCCATGTGTGACTTCCAGTACGCCTTCCGCCTAAACCTCACAAAGCACCGAGGACAACGGAACTTTTTCAGATGGCGGTGACTTCTGGCATGCAGCAAGAGTTCTCGTCTGGATCCCAGCTTCAGGTCACACAGCCAGCAGTGATGTCTCTTGTGGCAGGACCAGCGTCCCACAGAGACTGAGCGCAGAGGGTGGCGAACAGCGTAAGTATTGTTGACGAGGGGAACCAGCAACGCTTTTACTACTCTGGGAGCGTATGCTACAGTGATCCTCTTCCAAGCGTTTTGAGCTGGGCTTGCCGATACCGCGAGAACAGAGTTGTTGTTCAGAACATCTTCCGTATTATTATTATTCGTTTTACGAACCTTGTTGTTGGTGAAATTTTTTTTGCCTTTTCCAGAATTTTTCCTGGACTTTCTTTTCTTTGAGCTTTTCCCACATTTGCCGTTCATGTGACGTTTCAGGCTGTCGGAGTAGAAGAAGTCTTTGCCACACACGGGGCAGATGTGGTCCTTGATGCCCTGGTGCACCAGCAGGTGTCTGCGCAGACTCGACGTGTCCTTGTATGCTCGCCCACAGACATCGCAAGAGAACGGGCGCTCCTGGCTGTGCACGTTCATGTGTCGCACCAAAAGGTACTTTTTCTGGAAGACTTTGTTGCACAAATTGCACGGAAACTCTGAAGGCTGCAGCCCGTCTTGCTGCTGTGTTTTGCTGTTGAAGTCAGATATAATTTCTGCCCGAGTATCTTTTTGCATATTCACAGGAAAATGTCCACCTTCAATAAGTTCACTGTGATTATTTGACAACTTCTGGGGGTTCAAAACCTCCAGATCAGCATCACAAGTATTTATAGGAGCATCATTTTTATGAACTTTCATGTGCCTACGAAGCCTAAAGGCTTCTGAAAACTTCTTATTGCAGATTTCACAGACATGAGGCTTCAATTCAGAGTGGAACTTTTTGTGTCGCTCTAGGTAGGCTTTGGTCGAGTAGACCCTCCCACACTCGGGACAGGGGAAGCCGTCCTGCTTAGACGAGAGCTGCACACCTCCGTTGTTGGCCGGACACTCGCTGGCCTGGTGCTGATGCAGGGACTGGACATCGTGAAACTCCCGATCACACCCCGGGCACACGGCCATGTGCAGGCGCCGATGTCGCTTCAGGTTGAATACCTCGGAAAACTTCTTGTTGCAGATGTCGCACTGATATTTGAGAAGACCCTTGTGGGTTTTCATGTGTTCCTGCAGGCAGTCCTGATCGCCGAACACTCTTGTGCACTGCTGGCACGGGTAGAGAAAATCGGCCGGGACTTGAATTTCTGCCAGGAGGCACCCTCGACTTTTGTGTTTCTTCAAGCTCCACGCGTCACAGTACCCTCGGTTGCAATATTCACACACATGGGGTCGGACCCCCGCATGGATGCGGAGGTGTCTCTTCAGGCCGTGGGGGTCCGCAAAACTTTTTCCACACTCGATACACGTCACGTCCGGGTCCCCGTTGTGGTAGTTCATATGCATCTCAAGGCTCTGGACATCCTTAAATGCTTTCTCACATACCTCACATTCCACTAAGACTAACGTGTCGGTATCCGCTGGTTCAGGTTGAGATTCAGTACCTGGCAAGTCCCCTGATCCTCTCGGCACAACATTACCGCCTGTCACCGAGATGTAGTTATCAGTGCTGCTGTTTACATCATTACAGAAAGTAGAGTCCAGATTAGCGGAGAAGCTAACTGTCAGTTGGTCATCCTCCTCCTCCTCATCATTATCATTATTATTATTATCATCGTAGCTGAAGGTGATGGGTACATTATCGCTAAGGGCATTAGTTTTATCAGCAGACACCTCTTTTGTCAGATCTGCCAGTGACAGAACATCATCCTTCGCACCATTATTTACTGCAGGAGCCATGTCAAAGTAAGGCAGGGGAGAGGCCACGGTGAGGGATGCCAGTGACTCTAAGGAAGTCAGACTCGGAGTTTTGGGAATGTCCTGCAGTTCAGCGAAACAATTCTTCTTATGCTTGCAGAGGTTGGAGGGGTCCCTGAAGTGTTTGTTGCACTTGGGGCAGGCGTAAGGTTTCTCCCCTGTGTGGGTGAGCATGTGGCGTTTGAGGCTGGGGGCGTTAGTGAAAGACTTGCCACAGACCATACACTTGTGGGGAGATTTCTTGTGCAGATCCAGGTGCTGAGAGAGGAAGGCAGACGTGGCGAAGACTTTCGTGCACAGGTGACATGGGAACACGGAGGGAATGCTCGGGTCATCCGCCTCATACTCCAAGCGCGGCACGCTGCTCCAGATGTTCTGCTGGTGGACTTGGCTGGTGTAGATGCTGTTCACAGACGCCAACGATGTGTCGACGGCAGTATTGTTCATCTCAGAAGAACCAGACATCAGTGTATTTCCATTTTTTTTTTGCAGATCATGGTGATAGTTCTGACTACCAGCACTGTCACCACTCTGCTCATAGTTACCAGAATCACCTCCACTGAAGGCAAAGTTCTTGTGAAAAGATTCAACTTTTTGAGGCAATGGGGCGTTGAGAAAAGATGCATCTTTCTTACACATGTCACTGTCCGTGGAGTTTGAGCGAGAGCCAGTGGTACACGTAGCGCCTGTGGCGTCCGACGTACAAGAGTCATCGTCTTTGTAGCCTGCCGTGTTGTACACATCACCAACAAAGTACACGCCGTGTTGACTCCGCAGTCTCTCTCTCAGATGCTGCAAAGACTCTGCGCTTCCAAACATGTTCATGCCACTACTGCCAGCACTTTGCAAACCTGGTGTTATGCTCGTCAGTAATTTCTCACTCTCCTCCTCGTCACGGCATTTGTCCATCTCTCCCCGTTCACTCCGGGGAGAGTTGTCTACCCCAGATATTTCCGCTGTCAACACGGGTGGCTCTCCAAACTCCTCCTCCTCCTCACAACTCATGCATTTAAACGAATTGGTGGAGGAGGAGAAATTTTTCCCTTCCTTTTTAAAGTTCTCCCCATCAACTAAAAGTTCCCCACACTCGAAGCACAACAGATTGTCAGGCACAAGCGCTGGCTCACGTGTCAACGCAGCATCCAGTTCTTTCTGTCCACTGTCTCCGCAAAGGTTCAGCATTTTCTCGTAGGAGTCAATGCTTTCCACTATCTCAGAAATGCTATCATACAAGTTTGGGTCTTTCTTCATCAAGCTTCCTAGCGATGGCGAAGGTTTCCCTGCTTTATCTAACTGGCCAGAAGTAAGTTTATCAGCCTTTTTCGACACAAGGGTAGACGATGAATTAACCACAGCAGGCTCTGACTTAACAGTAGTTTCATCAGTCTTGTCAGAACCATTACTTTTACCTAAATCCATCTCATACTTCATCGCTGCCTGCAGCTGGGCGTTCAAACTGTCCACACTCACTTGAGATAATTCCCTCAGATCTAGGTCAGACTTAAGACTGTCCTGAGTAGGATCGGAAAAGGATCTATCACCGCTGTCCACATATCCGCCGAACCCGCACACGTTCTTCATGTGTCTCATCAGACTCTGCTTCTCCAGGAAGCTTCGCTTGCAGCGCCAGCAGTGAAAGTTTCGCACACCCGAGTGTATTTTCTGATGGCGCCGAAAACTCCCAATCTCACTGAAGGTTTTCTCACAGACGCTGCATTCAAAGGGTCGTAACCCTGTGTGAGTTCTTTCATGTCTCTTCAGCCCATGCTTTTCCGTGAAGCTTTTCTCACACTTCAAACACTGGTACATCCGCGGCTGCTCCAAGTGGGTCTTCTGGTGGCGACCATAACTCGTGGAATCCCTGAAAGACTTGAAGCAAATGTCACACACGTACGGCCGCTCCTCCTGGTGGCTTTTCTGATGTCGCTTCAGACTGCAACTCTCGGTGAACGTTTTGTCGCAGAGGTCACATTTGAAGGGCCTCTCGCCCGTGTGCGTCCGCATGTGTCGGTTGTACGACGCTGTATCCACGCTCACCTTGTGACAAATGTCACACACATAGCAGCCACCAAGCCCTGTGTCTTTGCTGCGATGCTCCTCGATATGAGCCTCCAGGCCAGCCTCACCAGAAACCTGCTGACCACACAGTGGACATGACAAATTGTTGGTGTCCAGCAAAAGTGCAGAGTCCACCAAATCGTCAGTGGCATTTTCATTTTCCGTTTGCTTTGCAGAAGTTACTTCTCTTATATCTGTCGACACTCTCTTAGCTTTTTTAACACTCTTTCTATTATCCACCTTATCACTAACGACATTATCTTTTTTCTTTGATTTTTTTATCACAACTGGCGTAGTAGTCTTTAGCTTTGACTTTGCCTTTGCCCGCCCCGAGCTTTTGGATTGAGGATGATTTGAGTTCCCAATAGTGGTAATGCCAAGGTCAATGTCACAAAAATCATACTCAAAGTCATCCTCCAGGTAGGAAGTTTTCCTCACCTTGATACGACCGGACTTCCGCACTCCTGCCTCGGCCATTGTTCTGCGACAAGAAGACTTGAGCACAAGTCTCTAACAATTGTTCACACAGTTTTGTTTACAAGTGTGAATCCAATACTTTCTTCACTCAATCCACACTTTGGCACACTGTCTTTTGCAACAACCGGTCCACACTTCAGCATGATTAACGTTCCTCCTACTGTCTCAAAGTCGTGCACCGTGTTCTCAATATACTCACACAGTCAATGTCTTGTGCACTGGACCTCTAATTCTGCAGCGAGCAAAGTGAAAGCTCTTCCTCAACCTGAGGATTAAAAGAAGGACATTTTAAGAGCATGTGTGGAGGCAAAGCAGCAATCATTTTTTATACAGGGTCCCCACCAAATCCTGGAGAATTTTTTCAAGACCCCCAAATTTTTTTCAAGACCCCAATTCGAGGGAAAAATCAGGCCGCTGCGCGTCAAGAATGATCCCCAAAAAAGCCAATCAATCAATATGATAAAAAGTCAAAATGTCTATAAATGAATGCAAATGTACATTTTGTAGTAGTCTTCAAACAATAGATGACTATAATACTGGGTGACTGCCAACCCAGCTTCTCAATTTTCCAAGGGAGGGGCCTCATTCATTTTCCAGGAACATGTTACATAATAATGAAAGCGTGTGCTCCATTTATATCTAATAATAATATAATACATGTATATGTTTGTGAATACACACACACACACACACACATGTAGGTACATTATATCCAGTCAACAACATGTCAGTGTGGCACTGGGATCATGAGAGACTTTGGTATTTCAGTCTGTTCTTACTAATATTTTCCCCTCATCATATTAGCCAACATAACAAACTGAAGGCCCTATTAAAAAATGAATCCTATTTTGAGCCTGAGAAAAGACCTAGAACTAGAATATCGACTGTCAATAACCAGTCTGGGTGTCGTGATTCATATAATAAACGTGAAGACGAAAACCATTGCTGCAACTCAAAGAAGAGTAATGGGGCATTAGTAATAACTAGAATGGCTCATGTACACCTATTCAGTGTGAGAGGTGTAAGAACTGGGGGGGGGGGGGGGGGGGGGGGGGGGGCAAGATGCAGTGACACTGAAAATCTGCCATTCTTGAACAGAAAGCTAAAATATAGAAAATTATAATCACCCCATCCAATGAAACGCGAACATTTTAGTTCAATAACAGTGCCTGGTTCCACCGTGAGGAGAAACTAATTGTTTTCATCACAACTTGCTGTTTATAGTCTCCCCTTTTTGATAAAGAAAAACTTTACACATGCCTAACTAATCACAACAGCACTGTGGTGAAACTAAACTGCGTCCAAGTTCAAGTAATATAACTTATGATGCAGGCTACAATTTATTAAACTTTTAAAAACTATTGCTGAGCAAGTGTAAGCTACAACATTGTAAAAAAAAAAACTTAAGACACACACGATATTGGTCACTCCACTATTCCACTGTGCTACTATGGAGCTATCTGGTATAAAAAATAAAAATGACTTTTTAAAGCATTCGCATATATTAAAAGGATTTTATGTCTGCTACCAAACTAGCGTGTGTGCAAAAAAGTCATGGTCTTGAGGTAACACGTCAATGCTGGGGTTATTGCAGTCTTTGTGATTCTGCTTGTTCAGATAACTTGTCAGTTAGAGATGTGACTTCAAAGCACTCACAAAGCAGAAAAATATTATAATTCTCCAGCTTACTTTACATATTTATGTGCTTAAAATTATTTATGATTTTGACGAATAAGCATTAATAGAAAACAGCTTCAACTGTCAATAACTGTGACACATCTTGTCGAAAATGTCTTTGAACAAAAAGATTTTTGAACGTCACAATCACAATGAGAGAATAAAAGTCAGTTCAGAAATGAAGAAGCTTTGTTGACAGGACTCAAGACGAAATAGGCCTAGAAACTTACGATTCAATGACTCACACACACAAATCTAAACACACACACACACAAACACACACACGCAATATAATATTCTTGTCTTGCAACAGTTTAAATAGTTAGGAATCATTTTCAATTTCGATCACAGCATATATATATATAGAACTTTAATTATTTAGCTTTTCTAGTCTGTTTTAGTCTGCTACTACTTTTATTTTACTTTACTAATATGCAACCAAACTGAAGTGAAATAATTTTAATGTAATTTTCATGGAACATCCCTAGACCCCGGCTTTTATTGCATGACTAGGCTACAAACAGCAAGACAAGTCATATCATGGACGCCTATCTCTACTTTCTCTTCAACTTAAATTAATCCATTGATGATAGTGTTAAGTCTGAAGTGATTTATTTAGACTAAGTCTAAGATCTCTAAACATTATAATTTTACCAGGGCCTGACTGAGTGCAATAGAAGGCCTACAAAGAAGGGTATAATTTTCAAAGCAGTAAGGCTATAGAGATAACATACAGTAATCTACGCCTAAGATCCCACCGCTTACGATCCCGGTTCGTTTAAGATCCCGCTGTTTAAGAAAACAGAATTTTTACTATACACACAAAAGTCACCCCTAAAATCCCTCTCTGATTCACTCTGAAGGTCTACATTCGGCTAAGATCCCGCATTTCAGATCATAATTTGCAGAACAAGAACCCGGGCGACCCAGCCGATCAACCAAGAGTGAAAAGTTGAGACCAATAAACTGTCTGTAGCGTCAAAGATCAGCCACTATCATGAATGTGATCACATACACGTTGTAAAACTTGATGAAGCGAATGTTTGCCCCAGACCAGATCACACCGGGGTGCGAACTGACCGACACATTTGTTTTCCCCACGCATCGCACTTACACCTGAGCTCTCCCCCTAAACTTACATCACTCGCTGGGTGGGCAGGGCCTACACGTTCGCTCCAGGCGGGATCACATTGAACTGTGAACCCTTCCCTGACCATTGCAGAAGTTGTCTCTACTCCCGAATTTGAGAGACTGAATTTTAATTGGTGTGTTCACAACATAATGGTGTGTAACGACAAAGGCGGTGGGGGGGGGGGGGAAACTCGGTCAGAGATGGAAAGCTATAAATTTTCGACAGGTAAGGGGGAGGGGTAACTAGATACGTGTAGATCTTGAGACTCATGAGGATAAAAAGTGAAAATGGCACGCCTCGTCCCACTATACTATAATGCACTGTGATAGTTCACTAAGGTTAATCACTCTTTGCTCGCCATACTTCATAAACCCACCAAGCGGTCACGTCAGTTCATTTTAGAGTGGAGGGAGACCATTGTACCCATTGTGAACCTTAGCATGGGTCACCATAGATTCTTCCCTGGGTTCGTCGGTTAAGATCCTGGTTCGCCTTAGATCCCGCATTTCCTTGCTCCCAAGCACCGGGATTTTAGGCGGAGACTACTGTATAATAATTTAAAGACTTGCAGGCTCAGACTTTTCGTTTTAGTCCAAACCTATTTTAACTCTTTTCCTACCAGGCCAAAATCCACCACTGGTCCACGGCTTTTCCCTGACCTATTTTTACGCCCCTACCCCGCCAAAGGAAAATGTCAAAATATCTAACTAAACACACAAACCATATCTTATGGCCCATCAAACTGAAGGTTAAAAAATAATCTATCAGATGGCGATACAATATATTGAATATTTATTCCAATTATATTACTTTGGGGTTTCTAAAAGTGATTATGCAATATCGAAGGTGTCATAAAAAATCAACAATTTTCCAGCTTTGAAAGGTCATCTAAAAAAGTACAACAACAGCATCATTCAAACTTCCCAGGTAGGTTGCCTCAAGTAATGCGAAGAAATGCTGAAAGTTATGTTTTGTGTACCTCTAACATATAAAGTGAAAATATGAGACATTATATTATACTGAAGTCAGGGTAGGCGCTTTTTTTTCTCATAACGTTTCGAAGGGGACAAAAAAGGGCTGAAATGACTATAAATCGTCTCTAAGTGCTATTTTCTTTCGTGTCTGCTAACAGGAAGTCTATTCTATTATTTTGAAAATGTGGATTGGTCGAGAACTTCGTGTCTTTTCATTACTGGATTGGAATAGAGCCGTCTTTTACGGCTCTCAATCCAGCGAGGCAAGGTCCGTGAGCCGTATGTGGCTCGTGGTAGGGAAAGTGTTAACTTACTTTGAATAGATCTATTATTATTAATTTAACCTAGAAATCTATATCTAGGTTTTTATATCAGTAGATCTACCACTGTTCACTGCCTTCATCCCATTCTAAAGTCAATTTTTTTTACTTTCCCTCCCGTCTCACACTTAGCTACCAGTTGTCCATTTTCCACTAAATTAATATTGATGCGTTGAACACGAAATTCGGAAATCAACTTCATTTCGACCGCAAATCAATAGTTTTTTAAATATTTGATTGTTCTTAATCGAGATAGATAATAGACATAGACGTGCTTTGGACCAATCGGAGGGTTCCAAGGGGGCCTGCCCCCCTTTTAAAGAAAAAGAAAATCGGGGGGGGGGTTAAGGCCACAGGAGGGCATGCCCCTCTGTTTTAACCCATAATTTGATATTTTACCGTTAGATTTGAAATTTTCTTGAAAAAATAATTGATTTGCGACAGTTTTAGTGGCTTTATTTGTGATCTGCAGCAAACAGTACTGCAGTCCCTGAAGCAGTGCATCTGTGTGCGGGAGTGAAAGTAAATATTTACCGAGGAAACCCAAAAAAAAAAACAACTTGCTTTACTCTTCTATCCAGAACCCTGTAAATAAATCTATCTAGATCTAGATCTAAATCTCTAGATCTAGATTCTAGATCTAGAATCTACATATCTACATCTAGAAATAGAAATCTAGATATCTAGATCTAGAATCTAGATCTAGATTCTAAATCTACACTACCCTGTGTATTGTGTTCTTGTGACTTGTGAAGTCTTCAGCCTCTGCAATATTCGAAGCGTGTTTAGGATAAGTTGTAGTACTGTTGATCTAGAGTCTACTGTACTCTTCTGCTGGGTGTAGGCCTTACCGTGTTCTCATCCCCTCGCGGAACCTGTGTAGTGTAGGTTAACAATGTAAACAACAAAACTAAATGTAAAAGTTACCTAATTTGTACTGAAAGAAAAAAAAAGATATCTAGAGATCGAGATGCTGTCGGCACAGTCAAACCCAAGAAACACAAATAACGAGTCCGTGCAGCAACAACAGCGCCTACATTTTTGATGACGTTGTACGACCGCCGCAGCTGCAACCGCCGCCGCCGACAACAACAGCACGCAGCAGCACCAGCCGTTGTAGCTGTTGGTTGGTTGGTTGTCGTGGCGGCGGTGGCGCAGACGTTGACCTAGCAGTGTCACAGAAGTCTGCATTTACCTCCATTCCCCATATTCCATTTCTGAGCAAAACACAAACTGTCCATAAGTTGGAGAAATCTGATGCTTTTCAACACGTGCGCAACCTCGAGCACTTTGTTTACACCCGCACTGTGATCTCGAACTCTTCACACTGTGACCCTTCTGTTTTTCGTTTTTTTTTCCCTTGGATTTTTTTTCCCCTCTAGCTAGGCCTAGCCACCTAAAGAAAATAAAAGGAGTAGAAAAAAAATGAATTATCGTCCTTGGGTCTCGTTCTCTACAACATAGAAAACAAAAAAAACTTCTTAACGCTGAAACTTTCCCTAGGCTTTGGGAGAGTTCCACGAGCGCGAAATGTTGTCAACTGTCAACAAAAACTTGTTGGAGGGACACATCGACTGTTGCAAAGATCAAGTGCTAAAAATGCCTGTTGTGTTGTATACAACTTTTGAAATGAACATGATAAAGATGCCACATAATATCTGAGTTGTCTGCATTTGAGAAATCATAAAGTCGAAGACTTATTAGACTAGAATGACAGAACATCTTGAACAAATGAGGCAGGACTGAAACGAACTTTTTAAAAAAATTTTTCTTCGCCAACGGCCCGAGTTCGTGTCGTCGGCCACTGACTTTCACTTTCACTTTGTGCCTGTGGACTGTTGGCTTAAAGTGAAGGGACTTAGTGTGAGTTTGCAGGTGAGAGTATGGGGATAATCTGGTTTTGGCCTCAACGATAACTATGGAACGAACGATTACTTCTGGTTTTAAACTAAACTCTATTCAAGACTATTCTCACCCGCCCGGAAGTTCTCGCAAGATCAACTCCTCCACATGCGATTAAAAGTAGAAATGATGCAAACTATTTTTAGGTAAGGCGCCCATCTTGTTTGACGTCAGACCAGGATACTCCTCCGATCACGTGACTACATCTAAGTATAGACAACCGCATGGCACCAAAGATGGAAGTGTCTATGTGTATATTATGCTTAATCTACACAAATTTCTCGGAATTTCTGATAGCTGATTTGATAGCGCGTCTGCGTTTGATGTCGAGCAATGACTTTTGGAGCGGTTCGATTCCGGTCCGGTCCCGGACAGTTTTTTTTTTCTCTTTTCCTCCTCCCGACTGACCAACAGTTCCATAAATTATAGGCCTAATTTGTAGAGTTGCTTTGACTTTGAAGTTGTTGTTTATTTTTTAAAATGTATTAGTGATTAAAAATGCAGGAGGGGGGGGGTGGGGGTGGTAGATCTAAATTTAGATATCTAGATCTAGATCTAGATATTATCTAGTCCTCCTGCGTCTTTACGGCAATTTTCGTGCGGTCTTCCATCATGTCCAGGTAGGCCTAATAGATCTAGATCTAGAATCTAGATCTAGATCTAATCTAGAATCTAGATCTAGATCTAATCTAGGATCTAGATCTAGAAAATCCGAAATGTTACCGAAAACACGTCGTTCCATGTTTGGGTATCCCAGGAAGTGATGACATCACATTACTAAAATAAGCAGCCAATCAGAAAGATGCGTCATTTCTAAGTTTAACGGCATGTAACTCCTCCCCTCTTCTCTCTCTCTCTGTCTCTTTCTGAATACTGTCTATATATCTATCGGTGTGGACGTTCAAATTGACCAAAACAAAGTTAAAAAATGATGTTAATACACAAAAGTAAATTTATTTGGTTGTCTACAAAGATGCTACAGCTATTTAACTTTTCGAATCGAGCCGAACTACGCGGGTCGCCATTTTGTTTTGCCCGGAAATTCTCGCGCTACTCCTCTCTCTCTTTCTCTCTCTCTCTCTCCACTGCCCACAGACAAAATTAGTACGCTTTTAGTAGGCTACAGTTGTAATGGAACGTTTGTTCACGGCACAGAATTCTACAATTTTTCTATAATCACAGTGTAGAATTCTGTGGTTTAGGGTGAACGCAAAATTTGGTGAATGCGCACCGGGTGAGAATAGCCACAAGACTCGCCTGCACTATTCTCACTCCGGGTGAGAATAGAGGTGGCCTTTACGATTACTTTTCGATGTGCGTGCCGATTTTGTTAAGACGTTCAAGTGCAGCAGACAAATCAAACCTAGATATCTAGATCTAATCTAGATCTAGATCTATAGCCGATCTAGATCTAGAGGCCCTGTACGGCATACCGTCACCTTAGTGTTTTGTGATGACTATTTCCGGAAGTGAACTTTTGTATTACCATACGAAGTGATTATTCAGACTCGAGTCCGAATATGAAAAAATGATATTAGGACTCTGATTCTTGTCCAGCATGACATCACTTCCAACTTCCTGTGACTCGTGACTCCGGCTTCCTGTCCTGCCTCACTCGTGACTCGCCTCAGGCTGGGTAGAGACCGGGATCACTTCGGGCAAAAAGGCGTTTTGTGCAGGAGCCGAGTTTTAATCTTACGATGAATTTGAGGCCGGCCTGAAAAGTTATAGAGCTTCTAATAAATGTTTATTTGTCAAGAGGTCATCAGAAGCAATTAAAGATGGCTCGTTAGCGTGTGTCGGGGTCGGATGGGCGGCTTGCACACGTGTGGCTGTGTGCGTGTCGGGGAGGGGGTGGGGGGGCACTATCGGTCCGGGCGATGAACGTCGCATACGCGTCAGTCTCCCCCCCCCCCCCCCCGGCAACTGATCATTATTACAATAATAAGCTAGTCTTGACGTAGATCTACGTAATGAATTGTGCGCTGGTCTATGGAATCAAAAGTTGCCGTATGCTCAGCTCTACACAGCAGCACAACTTTTTCTGGATAAACAGCTCATAATATGCAGGTGCCAGGTGGTCTGCTAATCTTCAATTTCACCCTTTTCTACAACAAAGAAAGTGGGAAACGTGGGGGGGGGGCGTATCAATGAGGCGGCGGGCATCGGATCGGCAGAAATGGTGTGTGTGGGGGGGGGGGGGGGACTAAAAAATGGCGGAAAATTGGAAGCACTGAACGTTAGATCTATAGAACGAAAACACTTCCTTTTTTCCGGACCCGAGTCCGAATGACATTTTTTCATTTTCGGACTCGAGTCCGAATATGAAAAAATGTTATTTGGACTCGAGTCCGAATAACGACGGCCATTAAACCATAACTTCGGCTCTTTCAAAAACATCAACCCAAAATTTCGTTTTGCTGAGAGGCCAGCCTTTCCTGTAGGTGTGGGCTGAAGTTTTTACTCAGATAGTGTGTAAAGAAGACCCCTAACCGAGACTTGACGCATGTCATGACTTGTACCCCATAACGTCACGTGTCGGGTTTTCTGTCATGGCATGTACCCCATATACCGTCACCCACTACACCCCATACCGTCACCCACTACACCCCATACCAGCACCCTCAAATTGAAGCACAACTAGGCGTTTGAAAAGAGGAAAGGAGCAAAGACGAACTCCTTTTGTACAGTGGGCCTAAGACAGAACTAATGTTTATTGGTATACTAAAAAGAACAACCACCAGAACAGACTCATACATCTTACTCACACATAGAGGTACATGAATGTTTCATTTTACTCTTCCACACATATATCACAAACTCATATGAACATCTTCCTCACACACAGGTACATGAATGCTTCATTTTACTCTTCCTCACATATCACAATAAACTCACTTGAACATCTTTTACTCACACACAAGTACTTGAATGCTTCATTTTACTCTTCCACACATATATCACAAACTCATATGAACATCTTCCTCACACACAGGTACATGAATGCTTCATTTTACTCTTCCCCACATATATCACAACAAACTGACTTGAACCAGATTCGTTTAAAATCGCTCTTGTAAAACCTTTGCTAAAGAAGCAAAACTTAGATCAGAATGTCTTAAAGTTAAAGAACTATAGAGACCTGTTTCAAATCTACCTTTTTTGTCTAAAATCCTTGAAAAGGTTGTCCTCGAGCAGCTTCGTCATCACTTACAAGAAAACAATCTGTTAGAGCCATTCCAGTCTGCCTATCGAGCTAA